GTATAAATGAAATTTATGAAAAAATGTACAAGTCACTATTTTTATTTTGTAAAAATCACCTTATTGCCAGAAAATACTCAAGAGTTTCTCTTCATTAACTTAAAGTAGATGAAAAGAGCTATTTATTAAACTTTTCATACCCTTGAGTATTTCCTGGCAACACTGTTCAATTCACGTTTAAATTTTTTTAACATCGTTTACCGTCACAAATTAATAGTTTAGTAAAACATTTAATAGTATACTTAACGAAGATTATAAATCTGTATAATTTAGTGAAGAAACCATTTAAAAATCTTTTGTCGTTATCCAGGAATTTAATTTTGAAATTCGAGAATAAAAATCACTCTAGCTCATTAGTGGTTAAAGTTAGAAAAATAATTTTTAGATATTTCAATATTATATTGAAAGGTTAGTTAAAGTTTAAAATTTCAATAAATTCTGGCCATAGTCGGTCATCTTCCGACATAGTGTTTAACACTAATGTTATCGTTATAAATATTAAAATTAAAAATAAATTTTAAGATTACCAGGGCGTAATGAATCAGCTATGAGTTCATTCATAATACCCCCACAAATGCCATTAATGGATGTGTTGTCACCAGAGATATGGTTAATCACAACTGGACTGCCTGTCCATTGATAATACCGGATATAATCGATGATAAGCGCCGAACAGTTCCACTCTTTGTAATCATTTTCATCGAGACTTTGGCCCACAAAGAGATCACTTCCGCCGACATTCAACTCAATTGTCAACTGAAAGTATGGCCCATAAAACTCCCAGTCCTTCACCCCATTGACAGACATGTAATTGTGTCCATCGAATAGCCATTGAATATGTGTTTCATTCACTACCAGCGCATAGGTATGAAAGTCATTGAGATTCGCGTTTTCAATGTATTTTATAGCACTTTCATTCGACACGTACGTTAATATTGGACCAGGATCATTGAATCTTACCACACTATTTAGTGATTGTGTCTGATTATATCGTACAAGATATATGCGATCGCCAGTCCCTTTACGTTCAACGTAAATGGTGGGACTCAGTGATCTACCATGGGGCAATGCCGTACGAATTTCATATTGTCCAAATTTCCAATAATTTGCAAATTGTATTTTTGAACCATAATAATTAAACTCATGGGTTTTGATCGTAGCACTCATAATTAAGCAATCATGTTTTACACGAAGATTAAGCTTGCTTGATGAATAATAGCAATGAATATGCTCTTGATACGTGTCTATATTTATTTTTAAAAATATATCTGGTTAAACAAGGTAGGTAGGTAGCAATTAATGTAATAATATTTAATATTTATTTATGTTATTTTGTTAATTAACTTTAAAAATCTTGTATTAATGTAATAAATGTACAAATGTATAATTCAAATAAAATACAAACCTGTACAATAAACGTTAAAATTATGTGATGTTATTATATCAGGGTCCAAATGTTTGCCATTAAAACTATATTCCTTTTGGAGCTTCAAATATTTGTTAGCACCCAGCACATAAGTAGCATAATTAAAAATATTAATATTAGACACGGTAAAATTTATGATTATAAATGTAAGTAAATTGTTTAAAAATATCATTTTATTATAAAATTATAAACCTTTAAAAATATACTATTTATTAAATAATCAGTGTTTAATTAAACCTATAGAAATAATATATATTGAATCAATATTATTGATGCTATTTTCCAATTATGGAAATTATATCCTGTTAAAATTATATCGCAAAACATATTTTTATGAGTTTTAAATTTATATCTCATTCAAGGTTATCAATATTGATATTGAAAAATAAAATACAAATGAAAAAATTAAATTTGACTTTATTAAAAAATGTTATGGACATATTTATTTTAATCATTATAATAAATTATTAACATTACATTTAACTTATACAGTGTAACATAAATGTGATTAATAACATGATACATTATGATTTCTAATAAGAATAGCAATAACTAGCGTTTCGATTGGTAACAAATAAATATAAACTAGATATTTAATAAATTATATACATTGCAACATGATCATCTACATAATTAGATGGTTAGTACATAATTATTGTACTGTATTTACATTCAATTCCTGCGTTAGAACTGATATTATGTTTTCGTGTCATTTAGGACCGTCAACAAACTGATCACCTTGGTCAGTAGCATTTCTTGAATTCACTAAATAGTACGGACTATCATATTGGGATGCATTTTAGATATAGTTAATAGGGCATAAATAATAATAGTCGACAGTTTATATTGATTATATAATTAAGTACACATACTGCACCATCATATATATTAATGGTTAGACATTTAGAAAATACTTCAAACTGGCATTAAAAACAATTTTCTAATAATTTTCAAAAATATTCGTAAAATTCTATTTTCATGTGTAAACTATAAAATAATGCATGCAATTTAATAATTATAATTTTTAGTTAAATATATTTTTAGTCCAGTATTTCATTTATTATATATAATATCTTTATAGATTTTTAATTACACAGAGCAGCTATATAAACTCAGTTGATAATCTAATTTTATATTTTATAACTACTAAAATACTTGTATTATCTGTTGAATAAGTAATTTAAAATATTATTTACTATTACCATATTAATATTGGATAAACTCTAAAATTAATTCAAAAGATTATTTCCACCGACAGTCTAACACCAAGGTGTCAACATTGTTAATATAATGGATAAAATATTTTCTATTAAACTCGAGAACTGGTACGACCCTGGTCATGCCATAACACTATTGGAAAAGTGGTGTAAAAACATGTATTTCTTGATTTGTGTGGATTTCGATGAATACGAGTCCGGATTCAAAAGCAGTAGACGTTTAGTCGTCAAAATGATCATCAACATTATATCATTTGTATCTGCAATAAGATGGGTAATCTTGACAAAAATATCACCTAGTACCAATAGTGATAATAAGCTCTGGTTTCAGAGGTTATTGTGTGACCCGACATATATGATGGGAAATTCACGACTCGTTGGTTTGTTAGGGTTTTTAGTCTTTATTTTTACAATTATAATAAGCATGGTCTTTTATATCTATGAATATACAAACAAATTGTACACTTTGAATGTAATCAATGATATGAAACACAAACGATCTGTTTTACCCATTAGTTACAGAAATGCTCAGAAAGTTAACCTACTATTTAATACTTACATGAATTTATTTATCACTCCAATACTATATGGATTTACAAGTTTTATTATAATACCGACAATTATGGCCTACTTTGGCAAACATTATAATTACACTCTGATATATATTATATTTTGGTCATTTATTACGATCATAACATTTGTTCAATATTATACTTTGTTATGTATCGGCACCTGTATTTTCATTTTAATCGCCATGTATTTGAAGTACAGTTTCGATACAATCAATAGTCGGATAGAGTTTTGTGCGAAACATGGACTCAACGGACGACTAATGCGAGCCATTATTGAACACAACGCTATCACACGAACCACTTATACATTGAATCAGTTTTTCTCAAAAATACTTTTCATTATATATTTTATGGCAATACCTTGTTATCTATTACTGTTATATTCATCACAGAATAGAGAGACAAGTCCAGTGTTTAAATCTTTTGCACTGTTGGGCTCTATTTTATTGTTTTTGTTACTTTTCAGTCTTAACTCATTGCTCGCAATGGTATCGAAAAGCGCTCGCAAATCCTGTCCATTGTACACAATACTAACCACACATTCATTGACTTATAGACAGAGATTGAGAATCGAGTCAATGATTAGCCGACTGTCGGATCCTGTCATTGGTTTCTATTGTCTCGACTTATTTCCTATGAATTCCTATGAGTTCTCACAACTCATCCTCATATCTGTCGCCAATTATCTCTTTATTGTCGATTTATTTCAATAAATTAAAATTTAAGTAAAAATTGTTTAAATTTTAAAAATGCTAGCTCACTATAAAGTAAACTCCTATATTTAATATGTTAGTGGAAGAAATATAAAATAAATGGAAAGAAATATTCCCTGAAACTTACATATTATCATAAAGAAGATTGATTATGAGTATAGATAACAAGTTTAGAAAATATTTTGATTCATGACACTATATTATTATATAGTGTCACTTAAGCATAACTTTCCTGAACTTTTTATCCATACTTATAATCAATCTTATTTTCTGCAATATATAAGTTTATGGGAATATTTCTTACAATTTATTTTAAATTTCTTTCACAGATGTGTTTAATTATCTGTAATTTAAAACTTATTCGAAATCATTATTGTATATAGCTCAATTAAATCAATTGATTTCTAATGTGTGTCCAAACTGTTTTTAATTACTTTAAATTAAAATTTAAAATATTTTAGTTTATATTTTTTAAACAAAACTATACAAAAAATATCGCTAACACAACAATATTATAACAATCATAATTTATAGCGAATGAGATCAACGCATACACTCAGCTAACTGTAGGTCCCCTCGTGGGCACCGCCTATATGCCACTCACGGCACAGGAGGCGTTCAAAGATGGAAAGTATAATACAGGTCAGTGTCTGTGAAATCACGATTTAAGACATTTAATTGTGTCGATCATTACATCTGATAAAAAAATGTATGTTTTTGTGTCCAGATGTGGATCTAATCGCTGGTGTAGTCCATAATGAGGGCCAGTTCTGGCGCCACAAATCAAAGGCAATATCACTGAAGAGGTATTCATTAATGCCATCAAAGGACGCAATTTTGGTGACATTAGTTTGGATGAAGTGTTGGCCTTTTATCTCAAAGATGTCAAAAAGGATGACTACGCGGCCTATCGGTGGGCATACTATGACCTGATTGG